GACAGATATCTGAAACATGAGACCTGCTTTGGGTAAGCAGTGTGTCAGCTGAAATGCTTGGCAGTAAGAGGACACATTGACGAAAAACAGGCACCAATGAAGGCACACTGATGAATGTGCAAGGAAAATATATGGTATGAGCATCGAGACATAAGGACATAAATGAAAAACTGAAAATAATAAATAAGTAAACTATTTATATAGACATAAATAACAGCTCATGGATAATAATAACACAAATGAATACTTTACAGACTATGAAAACACAAAAGGTACAACTTAACTAAATGCATGTAACAAATGTTCATATTGTTCATGTTCATAAATGTTCATAATGTTCATATAACTTTGTGTGCATAACATCAAAACTTGCTCTTTGTTCTATATATTAAGTTATTTTGTTGAATTGTTATGAAGAGGGAAGACAAATCTCGTTAATTGTGCACACTGCAGTCTCAAGACTTGCTTTAGCGGAGAGCTATGTAAATATGCAACAATAGCCATAATCTGTTCCTGGTACAGGCCAGTATATCTTCAGATCACTGGATTACACAATGACTGGAGACTAGCTGTACCACAGAGCCCAAGTCCAGAACTAATACCACAGTCCTTTAACATTGATGTAAACAAAAACAATAAGGGGAAAATTAGTGTAATGACCAGCTCAGTAATTTGCCAGAAATAAATGCTTTTAATTTACATTTTTCTTAAAAATATATATATTTACATTCATAAAAACATTCAAAAATCAAATCAAATATGTATCAAATTACTGATGGGCAGTTCAAAATGAAACAAGATAACGCTGAGCAAAACTTCCAGTATACATCATCACATCTACATTAGTGCAGGTGTGTGTGAGCGTTTGTGTTGTTTACATACCAGAGCGAAGCACAACTGCAGAGATGGACACGAACACACTCGCTCAGCGTTTACATCTGATCAGTTTTGTTTATCTTGAACTTGGGTTCCCCTTATGTACGTTCAGCCTAAACAGACGGTGCTGGCAGTAACTTTACCATGCTCTTCTGTGAGTGCGTATGGAGGAGTTGCTGCTGACGCCATGACGCGATACGGCAGGTGAGCGGCGGAGCTCCATCAGTGCTAGTTCAGAAGAGCTATATCTGACAAGTAAGCGTATTATACTAGCAAATCATCCCACCTATTTCTTACTTTCCCATATTACATCATTTGAGGCGGTATTTTAAATAACTAAATAAATAATTGTAAATAGGCCTATGTTATTTTGGCCGAAACAACCAGACATATAATTATGTTATTTATTTCTGATTAAAAATTGTATTCAACATAATTATATAACCTGAATGTACTCTAATAATGTAAATAGCAGATACTATTCATACTTTAATAAGTTAGAATATAGAAAAAAAATGTTAAACTGAAGTTAAATTTGATAATTATGTCGACATCTGCTGGTTCTTTTATGAATTTCTCTGAAACGTTCAGAATGATTTATTACACAGGCCTATAAACATCTAAATGAAAATCAGTTCATCGTTTCTGCCGTTTTTTGGATGATATAAAGTGTATTTTCCAGTGAACAGACATTGCATTTTAGGACTGCAGTTTGTAAGCTGCCACAAAAGAACCATTTGTTGATTATCAGCAAAATGTAAACGATAAAATTACAATGTAATGTGAAAAAGGCTATATTTAGAATGAATTACTACTGAAAAAGGTTTTTCTTATATTTTATATTATATTATTTTAGATATTTAAAATGTGCCAGCCCGCACTGACCTTATTTGTGACAAATATCTTTTAGATAATCAAAAAAAAAAAAAGAAGCTAAATACACTGAAAAAAATTATTTATGATTCCTTGGATTTCCTTTTTTTAAGTTAAGTGGTTGTAAACAATTAATTTGGGCTGAATTTAAACAACAAATTAAGTTGAACATTACTGAATTGGATTTGTTTGTTAAATCAACACATATTGCAACAATTTTGCGACATTTTTTCAGTGTATTTAGCATTTTTGAATATCTAAAAGATATTTGTCGCAAATAAGGTCAGTGCGAGCTGGCACATTTTAAATATATAAAATAATTTAATATAAAATATAAAAATACTTTTTTTTTTATCAGTAATTCATTCTAAATATAGCCTTTTTCACATACATTGCAATTTTATCGTTTACATTTTGCTGATAATCAACAAGTGGTTCTTTTGTGGCAGCTGGCATATGAACAAAATTCAGAAACTATTTAAAAATATCCTTAAGGGATAGTTTACCCCAAAATTAAAATAATTTACTCACATTTGACTGGTTCCAAACCAATTTGAGCTTTTTTTGTTTTTTGAACACAAAAGATGATATTTTGAAGAATGTTGTAAACTTGAAACCATGTACTTCTATTTCTTTCTACCAGGGATGTCAATGATTCGTTTGTGTTAAAAAAAAACTGGTTCAGAATTTAAAAACCAAAACCTGGTTTAGAACCACTCGAGGGCGAATAATTGATGACAGAATTGAATTTTTTCGTGTGAACTTGCTTTAAAAAAGATTGGTGACTTGAAAGCTTGTTTGTATACACATATAATGTACATACATCTCCATAGATATTTTTGTAGAGGTCTTGTAATTTGACCACTAACACATCTCTCCTATGTACTGTAAAAAAGGTGTTAATTAAGTTTACCACATTTTGTCATTAATATGCATGAATTTAAAAAAATATATATTTTTCTCTGGTTTGGTGATGTAAATTATACAATAAAACCTGCAATATAGCTGCCAGTATATATTTATGGGAAGCATCCACACACACACACACTCATTCATTCATTTTTTTTTTACAGCTTAGTCCCTTTATTAATCTGGGGTCACCACAGCGAAATGAACTGCCAACTTATCCAGCATATGTTTTACGCAGTGGATGCCCTTCCAGCTGCAACCCATCACTGGGAAGCATCCACACACATTCATTCACACACACTCATTATGTAATATATTGTTTATATATTGACACACGCAAAACAAGTCTTCTTGTATAATTTTATTAAGCAGTTGTATTTACAAATCATCTTTTTAATGGTAAATTATCAGTAATTAAATCTGTAACTTTACATTGGCAAGCCTCAGTGAGGTGCATCTTTGCACAGATCAACATAAATGCAGTTAAGAGAAGAACATCACCAGATTTCCTAAACTGGGTTTTAACGGCTGACTGAACAGCCCATGGAGACACTGAAAAGTATCATTTGAATGAGACTGCTGAGAAATACAGGGGAGAGACCAAAACCAAATTTCTTTAGATTTGTCTTAAGCTGGCTTGCGAAGCATAGATTGTCAAGTTTTAGCTCTAACGTTTGGTTAATTATAAATAATCTAAAATGACAGTGCAATTTAGAACATTTTAGGAAACTAAACTTCAACACAAATACTCCAGAATCTCATACCCCAAATTAGAATAATGGTATTACATTTTTTTAAATTATTATTATTATCGATGCTATGATATTGCTGCATTTGCAAGGACCAAACATATTATTTAATCTTTATGTGAAAAGAATGTGCATTAAGCCAGTCTGCTTGCTTAAATCAAGGGACTTTAAAAAGCAAAAGCTGTGCCATACAAATTAAAAGTATCAATCTATGACTGAAAAAAAAAGGTTTTGGATTTATTTTGAACATAACAGGTTATAGATGGGCAAAACAAATGACTTAAAATCAACGTTTTCACTGCATAAACTGAAAGAACACGTCTGAAGAAGAGGATTACTCCGGTCAGAGAGATCCCACATGAAATCACTTTTCATTCATGGTTAACATGCAGCGATTCTTTTCCTTGGGAACTTAAATAAGAGTACATGAAGATCCCAGTATTTCACTTCACTTATGAATCCACACAGACTTTCATAGAGAGGAATAAGACATGACGACGTGGTTCACTCTTCAATGAAACCTGTCAATATATTTTTGAACTCTAATGGACACTTCAGCTTAGTTCTTCTTAAAGCGTGTATAAACGCACACATCGTTTTAATATTGGGCCCGTTTCACTACAGAAACTTGATTTGTAAATTTAGAGGAGGAAAAAAAAGAAACATTTGCTTTTTCTTTTTAAGAAGCAAAAATTGTTTTGTAAAACAACTAAAATAATCGTACAAAAAAAAAATTTGATAAAGCAGTGTGTGGAATAAAACATCTTACAGCGATATAATCAAACATTTCTTTTTTTTAAAAATCCAGTCCAATATCACAATTTCAATACAATCTACAACCCCATTTAAAGCACTGATAAATATAAATCAAAATGCATGTTTAAATTCTGTATATACTTAAATTTATGTAAAATGTGAGCAAATAGAAAAAAAGGTGTGATAAACAAACAAACAAACATCTCTGAAACAGAGGCGAGGACATTGCACTCCCTCAGGATAAATGGGTCTTACATTGGTGTCTTCCTTAAGAAAAAGGCTGACTTATCATTAAGTTGTCCCTTTGTGTTAAAGTGCCCACCATGCTAAATTGGCCCCTCCCACCAGCGGCCCGCTTTAAAAGTCGGCTCCTCCTAAATCGAGTGCCCTTCCCAGTAGGCCACTTCAGTGGGATGACACTGGCCCACAAAACCTTACAGGTAAAACTGTGCAAAAGTGCTTTCTGTCTTACTTGTCGTCCCACACGCCTCTTTCATACATCTCTTGGTCCGCCAGGAATCAGCATTGTGTACAGTACAGCTAGCTCAGTGTTTAACTCAAACGCACCTCTACACCCCACTCTCTGCAAGGGAACCCCTGCGATAAAACCCAGAAAAGAATTGTAAAACCAGCTCTAAAAAGAGTATAGATACTATAAAGTGGCTTAAGCAATCTTTCTGACATCTTAACTGTGGCACAACCAAAAAAAAAAAAAAAAAAAATTCAACAATCTCCATTATTTCCCTCTCAAATCTTTCCTCAATCTTCTTGAACAGGCCGATTCTGGTGACTGACCATTCAGCTTGTTGATGCGATTGGGGTGCATGGAGTCTTGAGTCTGTCCGCATGCTTTATTGCTCTAAAGACACTGAGAGAGAGAGAGAAAGAGAGAGAGAGACAGAAGGACTGCTGTGAATGAAGACACAAATATCAGAGAACGAAGAGGTAGTATTCTAGAAGAAAGAGAAACCGAGCTAGAGAGTGAAGGGAAGATAGAGGGGAGAGAGAGAGAGAGAAGGCATCAGAGGAACCATAAGTTATCGTGCTAGCAGCTTGATGAGGTTGGCGCACATCTCGAAGAACTCTATGGTGTGGCTTCCAGGACGGGGGAGGATTTCTCCACCGGTGGAATCCACAGACGAGGTAAGAGAAGAGGCCAGAGAGCCTTCCGCCACTTTACTTGCGGAAATCGGAGGCGTGGAAGGTGCAGACGCTTCGCCTTTTGCAGCGTCCTCACATTCGTTTTTCTCACTTTTGTCGTTCTTTAGGGTAGTCCGGTAATTCCCGACTGAGCCCGAGCGGTGAGGTGTAGCGGTTCCTGATTTTACCTCCATCATGTCATCTGAACGAAACAATCCAGAACAAAACTGATAACGTCAGATGATGAAGCATACAGAAAACACACTTTAAAACAGGGGTGCCCAAACTTTTTAGTACAAAGGGCCAAAAACCAAATATGCTTGAAAGAAATTGGCCGAAGGTATATATACCAAACCATATTAGATTAAAGTTGCCATGGGTAAATTACTTATTTATTAGAAAAAATACTTTAAATCGTAATAACTAATGCAGTATGGCATTAAAATGATAACCTATTACAATAAAAACATAAATAAATCACATTTGTAACACAGTGGAATTCAATGGAGAATACACTAGTCAAGAAGAGTCTGCCTTTGCCTTCAAGTGTCCTCTACCCGTCGGGTTACAGTACTGTATGTGCATTCATTCATTCATTTTCTTGTCGGCTTTGTCCCTTTATTAATCCGGGGTCGCCACAGCGGAATGAACGGCCAACTTATTCAGCAACTTTTTATGCAGCGGATGCTCTTCCAGCCGCAACCCATTTCTGGGAAACATCCACACACACGCTCACACGCTACGGACAATTTAGCCTACCCAATTCACCTGTACCACATGTCTTTGGACTATGGGGGAAACCGGAGCACCCGGAGGAAACCCACGCGAAGGCAGGGAGAACATGCAAACACAGACACACAGAAACGCCAACTGAGCCGAGGTTCGAACCAGCGACCCAGTGACCTTCTTGCTGTGAGGCGACAGCACTACCTACTGTGCCACTGCCTCGCCCCTGTATGTGCATTTAAACTAAATCTGATTTATTTACAGTTTCATTTAAACATCTAATTTCAGTTAGCTTTTAACAATAAAACAAACAAGAACACAACCAAACAAACAATAAATCAAAAGGTTACATTAGATTACAAATGACAATCTCTAAACAATCCCATCATTCTTCCTCTATTTTGAGATGGAATAACGGGCCAAATCAAAGATTTACCATGGGCCAATTTTGGCCGTAGTTTGGGCATCTTTGCTGTGGAACATGAATGGGAATCATCAGGAATTTAACAAATTTGATTATGATTTGAGGCAGTTCTTGTTGCATTTACTGCTGTCGGCAAACAAACAAAAAAGCAGAGCAGATATAACAATTCAGGAATGCAACAACTGATTTTTTGGAATATATTCTTAATACATATCAATTTTAATTTAAAATTACTGGCAGATTCTGATACTATTCATAATATTTACAAGCTCACTTATTTAAAATAAAATTCTAAAACATCACTTTTGGTCAATAAAAATTAGCAAAGTTAAAACTAGCTCGGTTATTGCTGCATCAAATCACTTTTATCAGACTTACAACTATTCAGCATCTTCTCTGTGTTTCATAATCTCATTTGCATGACTGTTGCACTGAATTCATTTTTGTTGGTATTATTAAAGCAATAAAATGAGTAAATAAATATTCATGGAAACACAGTGAGATTTACCGTCTATGCTCCTGAAGTCTAGTAAATAGGTCCTGCTGTCCACTTGGTAGAGCTGGAGGCTCATCTTTGTATGCATGCCAGTGACTGGGTTCTTCCTTCGCACTCTCAAGTAATAAGGATTTACTACCTATCAAACAAAGAGAAAAAAAGTCAACAGGATTAATAAATCTGCCTGTAACAGGCCTAAAGTTCATTAATATTTAACTTGAAAAAGACTCTGCCGACTTGTTCAATACACTGTAATGCAATTTGCTTTTGAGTTTGAATGGCATCTATTCCTGAACAGCAGTAAATACTGCCTCACATGATAAGACAGACCGCCGTGAGATAAAACAAAGAATTAGATCCACTAAATTAAAGGCATGCAGGTCAGTTCAGCCTAAAACTGATAAGTCATTATAGTCAAGCATACTTGAACTTCAGCCATATAAACACTTTCAGTCACCGGCTAACAATCAATGCCATGTCAAAGGCATAAAACAAAGCACACGTCTCTGAAGCTCTGCATTCAAAAGCACTCTTCAATTCACTTAATAAAGAGCAGAATATTCAGGTTTAGATACTTTTAAAATGTAAAGATACAAAACGTCTATTTATTATGGCAGCAGCTATGATACCTTGTCGGATAACAATAATAATGCTATAACAAAACTTAAGCATGGCCGATTAAAAATATAACATACTGACTCTCTGCAATTTTAGGTCAACTACAGTTTGATTTTCAACATGATTGCTTTACATTGATAAAGAGTTACAGTGAGCACACTGACAAAGTTAAAAAAGCGTTCCATTTCAAATAAATGCAGTTCCTGAACTTGACAATAACAATTTTGCCAAACAATGTTAATATTCAAAACAGTAAACAGTTAAGACACGCCACTTAATGAGGATTAGCTGAAAGTGTTGGACACAACGCTAAAAAGCCTTTTTAGAATATTGTTCAGTGCATTTTCTAGTGATTGGTTGCAGCTAAAAGAGCATCAGCTGCGTAAAACATACAGTAGGCTAGAAAAGTTGAAGGTTCATTCCACTGTGGCAACCAAAGATTAATAAAGGGACTAAGCAGAAAACAAAATGAATGAATGTTTTGTGTGCTTTTAAAGGAGACCCATTATGCCTTTTTTACAAGATGTAAAATAAGTCTCTGATGGCTCAGAGTGTGTGTGTGTGTGTGTGTGTGAAGTTTCATCTCAAAACACAATGAATTGTTTTGCATAGCAGGTCCCCTTTAAGACTGGATTCAAGCATTGTCTGAAGTATTTTTGAAGGCTGTTTGTATAAATTGCTATAACGTTTCAAAATATTTCTGTATTTTTAATGATAGATTGCAACCTTGAGGGAAACATAAGACTTGCAACATTAAAATAATGTTCCTGACCCCAAATTGAACAATAGCATACCATTAAATAGCAGTACTTAATACTTAAAGTTCCATTTACATGTCATAACAATATGAGTGACAAATAGCAAACTGTTTTTTTAACGTGTTGTTTGCCTTTGTATGTGTAAGCATGTGTGTGCAAGAGAGTGAGAGGTTGAGTCCCCCCACCAAAAAATAAATAAAAACACTTTCCCACAAGGGTCCATTGGAATTTACTCTAAGATCACAAACCTCAAGGGGACAAGCAGAATAAATACACCGCAGCCATCTATTTTTACCACTCTTTCCCCATTACTGGAAGTTATGCTTTCCAGGCCCTACATGGGCAAACTTTTCTTTGTCTGGATGTAATTTAATCCCACAGTCTCTTGCAACACCATACTGTATGATTCATCTTAAAGGGCCAGCTAGCACAACATTTTTGTCGCCGTTTACTTACCCTCACATCTTTCAAAACAATGAAACAAAAGTGGACAAAAACAGCTAAAATTCATCAAAATACTGTATTATTTGATAAACAAGTCATGAAAATGTGGATAATTTTTCACAGTCGTATTTAAGACCATTTTGAATTAAACTTAAGATTGGTTAATATAATGGTCTCATTTGTAAATGTAATACAGCAAATTATCTGTGGACTAGTTAAAGATAGAAATATAAACTTAAATGTCTTTAAAAAAGCACACAAAAAAAATAAACAAACACGAGATTCCAAAATTCATGTTTATGTTGTTTGTCACAAAATTGCAAAAAGCTGCTACTTTTATTTGCTGTTAGTTAATTTTAGATGCAAAACTTGGTGTAATTCCTTGAAGGTCCAGGAAAATGAAACAAACTTTTTTTAGAAGTTAGTATCAGTATTTTAGTTTCAAGGATATCTATAAGACAAAACAGTGACCAAGATATAAAACAAGGTATAAAACTGACAAAAAGCCTGGAGTTTGTCACCTGCCAAAATAGATAAATTTTTCCCCAAGTCACTTCATACTTAAGTTTTTCTTCAAATCTTGACCAATTAAAATGCTCTCTAGTATCTGACATGTCCTGCCGCCTTCAAGATACTTTGCTTTTCATTTGATGTGCTTGAGCTCAACCACTCACTGGCAGAGCTGTGATGAAAACCAAATGCTATTGGTCATTTTTAAAAAGGGGCAGGGCTACTTTATGTCCTGCCTTCTCTTCGTATTTAAGTTGAGATTACAACAAACATCGAATAAAAATGCACATTTCAAAGCACTTCACAGGACCTTTGTGTGTTATTTTTGAATATTTTCAGGTTGTTGTTGGTTTGGAACCCTTTGATGAACATTTATAGAACATTTTGATGCATGTCCTGAGCTTAGACATAACTAAATCCATTTATTCCCACACTGCCACTCCTTTAACACGGTTTCATCATGACAAATTAATTATTTATGACCTATAACACAACTCTTCAGTGAATTTAAGGGTCTAAAATTTGGATTTGTATTTAGACACTTTAAGAAACCACAGAAATCCAGATTTCAGAATGAATCTTCCTTTTAAATACTAAACAACGCACTGATCCTATAAGTTTAAAGTAGCAGACCCCCTACTTTCTCGAAAAAAAATCCACAAAGTGACGCAAATTTTTGTCGCAAATTTTTTTTTTGAATTGCAAAAAAAAAAGACAAAATAAATCTTTAAAAAAGGGGGTCTAACAAAAAAAAAAAAAGAGTAATAATAATCACATGCACAGAGGCTTACCTTCCACTCATAGTCCAGCTGCTTCATGGCACGACAGACCTCGCTCATGATGTCATTCGGCCTGCTCTGGCTGCGGATTCCCAGGTGCCACTTGGCTCGCCGTACACCAAGATGCTTGGACTTCTGGGGATTAAGCTCATCTAGTGTGTGCCGAGGACGTGGCTGAGACTCAGCCACTAGGAAGGGCACTCGCTCAGGGTGAACCTTAGCTGAGTGATGAGCGGGAAGATCGTCTAGGAAGCTGTCTGGCGGGCTGGAGGCCAAATAGAAGTCTTTGGCTTCGCTCATAATGCGGCGGTTGTCTATGATCAAGTGATAGGCCACAGCAAGAGGATCCTGGTGATTGCGACTGCAGAGGAGTCGAGGGAAGAAGAGAGAAAAAATGATCTGACTCAAATATCTGACTCCCAGGAGCCTGTTCTTTAAGCAGTTCGTTTAAAAAGATGAGTTAAACTGGGTTCACGCTACATGGTATCCTAAATCCCAACCAATAGATTATATGCACAGCAAGTGTTTTCCAGCCACTGATAAACTTCCAGTAAAAGTTTGAAGTGACTTTTCAATGATACAAGGTTCTTTTACAGCATGATAATGTGATTTAATTAAAGGAGACCTATAATGCCCTTTTTGGTACCATTGAGCTATTTTGGTGATTGTCGCTTTAAATTCAAATGAGATTTTGCTATTTTTAAAAGAGGGTGGAGCTTCAGCTGTCAGCACAGAGGCAGATTCACAAACAAGACTATGCAAATGAAGGAGAAACTGTGACCAATAGGTGGGGCTTTCCCCGTCTGATGACATGTACAAAGGGAGACTTGTCAACCAAAGCCTTTCTGCACACAGATTTTATCAAGTGTGATCATAAAAGAAATTAAATTATTAAATTTTTACCATTAGAAGCTGGTTATATTTGCAGACTCTTGCCACACGACTGTGTTTAAAGCAATGATTTTTGCCTTATTTAAATATAATCAGTTAAATAGGCTTAAGCATGTATTTAGTAGTTCAAATGTAAAACAAAATGAGCAGCAGAAAAATCTGACTTTGTTTTTATAATTATAGTTTAGATAAAGATTAATGTGAAAAAGTCTGTAATGCTATCGTTTCATTAGAAGAATTTATTTTACAGCAAAACAAAATGCACATGTACTGTAATATTACCAAAATTTATCAAAAGAAGGGCTGTTGGATTTTTGTTGTTTTGAAGTGACTGTCTTTATGGATGGCTTACTGAACTATCCAATTTAATAAAACGCTCAAAAAAGCAGATGAAACTGCATTCTAACTGGATACATCTTAACTGCAGTTTGTACCCTTCCTGTAATTTGTGCTTTAAAACTCTCTCCTTTGTTGTGGTGCAACATAACGAAACTATTCACCTCAAACGGCAAACACAGTGATGCAGAACCAAATTAGCACACAAACCTGTACAAGCAGTTGAGCACCTCCTCCTCAGTGCACTCACACTTCTCACACACCTCCTTCAGCGCCTCCTCATCAATCATATTACTGCTATATGCAGCGTCTTCAGGGAACAGATACTTGGGAAGATCCTGCTTAAACCACTCGTCCTCCCTGACAATGGAAAGCAGTGGAAAAAAAGGAAATAAATTTACTTGCTTTTTCCCAAATATTAAGGTGCAGCCATATTACACAGGTCCATTGTACTTTGTCAAGAGAGGAATAGAGAAAAAAAAGCTCGGCTCATACTAAAGTTATTTTCAAACTAAGGGTGCACTATATTTTGGCAAAAAATGGTTATTAATTTTTTTTGGCTGAAAGACAAAAATGGCTGAAGATATATGCCAAAAAAGCATATCAGGCATGTGATCAGCCAAGAACAAAAAAGAAGGAAGACGAGACAAGATCATGGGAATTTAAATAAAATGAATTATAATTCAAAAAATGTATATAAATAATAATCTTTAATTAAATATTTGACATTGGCCAAGCAATGCGTTTCATTTTTTGTTTATATAACTGTAAAGGTTTAGCAGTTTATTGGTGACCTAAGTAATATTTAATAGGCTCATACTTTGTCAGTCAATGTCAGAACAGATTCACACATCGCCACTAGATGGCGCCACTAACTTTGTTAGATCTCTTGTGTCCACAGAATATAAATTTCCCTGTAATTTAATCAACTCTTTATTCCAAATGTGATAAACTACTAGTCATTTAACAATTCGAACTGTAAAAATATAAAGTCCAGTTGAAATAAGAATCATAATATAGTCTACTTTACCATTCCACCCTGAAAATAAATAATCATTCATAGATTTTATCACTTTCAGTTTCCCTTTCCTTCAGTTTAGTTCATTCTAATTATAAAATATATTTAAAAAAAAAGTATAATATCATCTAAACTTATGACACTTTCAGGTATAAAAGTTGAGGTGCTATGCTGTAGCACTGAATAAATGAAGACAAAAAAAGAGAATAATAACAAATGTGAGTCCTGCAGCTGTATTTATAATGTACATAGAGCGCACATGGTCGTGACATGCAAATGTGAGAGTGGAAAAAGTGTGCACAGCCGCACATGCATTTAAAGCGATTTCATAATCTTGCATATTATCAGCAGCTTCATCACATTGACTACACAATATCATTATGTTATATACTCAGTAGCCTAGGTAGGTATACAATTATATCCCTAAAAATGTCTGGAATTAAGCAGATCGTCTGCTTTGAGGACAATGAGCCTCGCTCTTCCTCCAGCTCTGTGCCTTTCACGCTTATAAAACTTTTTACACCACAAAACCCAAGCATTTCAATAGCTTGCACCACGCAAATTAGCTCAATAATACACTTGGTAGATATTTTGCTCATGTTCTAGTACACTCATCTTTGAATGAACTGCACATGCTTACCAGAAAAGCAAAGTCTGTTTCAATAACAGAACTATTTGGTATATACCTATTCCTGCTGCTAGCAAAAGTTCTACTGTGCTGTCATGACAAAGCCTCTTAACTCATTTACTGTCAAATAAAAAAATGGAAGCAAATAAATTGTGTGAGTTTTATTTTGGCTTGTGTTCAAGATATAGAATTTCTGTTTCAGCACAGAATTAATTTTGGTGAATCTCTACTTCAAACCAAGCAACTGTCTACTGTATAGTAAAGTCACTGGACCAACTAATTGGTTTTGTTACTAAATGAAGCAGACAATGGGTGGTGCAGTTTCTGACCGAATCTCTTTGATGGTGGCTCTCTTCATGGGGTCCACTTGGAGCATGTGTTTTAGAAGGCTTATAACGGAGGGGTTCAGATACTGAGGCGTGAAGAAGATCCCATCGCAGATCTTCTTGAACAGTGTTGGCACGTGGTCGTCATCAAACGGCAGCGTCCCGCACAGTAGAGCGTACAAAATCACTCCACTGCTCCAGATGTCCACCTCGGGCCCTGCGTATAACCTGCATCAGCAAAATTAGTGGAGACGATCTTGAAAGCAGCATTTAGTAATAGACTGGAGCAGACTTTTAAGAAGATTATTAAAAAACACACACACACACAAATGGAAAGAGTACCTTCCAGAGATGACTTCTGGAGCAGCATAGTTAGGAGAGCCACAACTCGTCCTTAGAAACTCTCCATCTGACATCATGTTTGATAAGCCTACATGAGAAATACTCTAAGTTCAAGTCTCTATAGCTTCAAATATAAAGGTTACAACAAGAGTAAATCCAGCAACAACTGAACTGTTTTCTCAAAAATGAAGAGTTGACTTACCAAAATCTGCAATCTTGGCATTCATGTGCGCATCCAGCAGGACGTTCTCAGGCTTGAGGTCTCTGTGCACCACCATATGTCTGTGGCAGTAATCCACCCCTGAGATGATCTGCTGGAACAGACGCCTGCTCTCCTTCTCATCCAACTGACCAGACACAAAGGACCGTGTATTATTTTAACTGAACATTCTCCATTGTACTTTTCCCAGTTGTAATGTCTAATATGTGATTTTTATGTCATATGTATTACACAGTAAATTTGGTGAAAAAAAAAATATCGTTAACGTTTCTTTTTACTCTGGCTTAATTTACTTAATTAAATAAACAGTAGGAAATTATTATTGCTAAATATTACTACAATTTAAAATGCATTATTAATTTACAAATGAATAGTATATCAGTAACAATAGCTATATCTAAACTTAAAAACAGCTCTATTCCATCATTAAAATGGTATAATGTCCAGAATACATTCATCAATTTTGTCTTTAAAATGGTCAACATGTATAGATGACTTGTATATGGCAGGATGGCTCATTGGGTAGCACTTTCGCCTCACAGCAAGAAGGTCACAGGAAATTTAGGATTTCAAGAATACAGATGATTTAATCACTGAATCCTACAGTTATTGGTAAACAATTGTTTTCAAAATGATTGCACTTCCTCTTTCTGTTGAGCTGTTGTATTGACAGACATGCAGAAGCTCTACGATGGATTTGTGGAACAATGTGAGCGGTGATTAAATCACCACAAATATGGCTAATCGAATCAATGTTAATCTTGATTTGATTTTAATCATTCAAAATTGAAGATGTACCTTGCCATTTTTACAGATGTAGTCGAAGAGTTCTCCTCCAGACACATATTCCATCACCATGAAGATGTCTGTCGGTGTGCTGATAACTTGGTAACTGCCAAAGAAACAAAATGCACAATCCTCTAAAAATTACATCTGATATTGTATATGAGTATTTTCATATAATTCAAAATAATTACTAAATAAATCCATTCAAGAAGGTTTAATGATGAATTCAGGAATGAGGTTTTTTGTTGTGGTCAAACTATGCAGGTTGCAATAACATGGCAAAAGTAAATCCCCCCCTAATGGGTTTGAGATGAGAGTGGACAGCTACAACATTACTCCATGTCTTCTTTTTTTAATAGCAAATGTTTTTGATGACTGACTTCATATGTCTTTTTCTTGCAGAAGTAAAAACTGAAAAGTTTCACAGCATCATAAACAAAGATTTATATCTTTTTTCCAAGTAGTAAGAAATGGCAATCCCCTTTTTTCCAATCATCTGTAGTTCTGTGCACGTCTTGTCTCTTTTCCAAGCCACAAATAAAGAAAAAAATGCAAGGATTGTCAATTTATCACACATGAGTGTGAATGAATGCTCCCACATGATTACTCCAGGATAAATATCCATTACAATCACACAAAACATTGACTTATTATTTACGACTATGTGTAGATCAAATGTGTGCATTCTCTCTGACAAATAATAATTATCATTATTAGTAGAGCACTAAGGGCATGGATCTGCCAAGAAAACACAAAACAATGTATTGGCTAATTGTGCATTATTTATGACAAAAGAGAAAGGAAACATCTTATGGCATATAATTTAAACTAGTGTTGGACTGATACTTTTTCTAACAGGTCAATGTCTATATTTTAGAGACAAGAGCTGCTGATTTCTAATACAAAGCAGATAAATATATATATTTTTTTATATGTAAATGTAATATTTAGATTTACATTAAAGTTTCAATATAGTACTTCAAAAATACATTTTTCAATTTTAAAAATATTTTTTTGATAACTAATTAAATTGGGGGAAAAAAATCAATGTTAAACTTTCCTAAACAGATCATGTTTACTCACAGTTTGATTATGTGTGGGTGACGAAAAAGTTTGAGATTCTGGATTTCACGTCGAATTTTCCCCACCACATCCAGACTGCGGATCTTCTGTCGGTTTAGAATCTTCACGGCCACTTGATGCTTCGTCAGCTCATGCTGGCCAACTGAACAGACAGGTTGAAGAGACAAATGTTTGCAATGACTTATCAAGATCTGGAGAATGTTTTTATAAAAAACATTAAAAACAGAACTGACTGTCATACCAATTTTAAAGGAAAATCATCCTGAATATTTAACTTCAAACTCGTATCCAAACTCAAAGTCATTGCTGATGGGTAAAAATTTATATATATTCTGAATGCATGTGATAAAAAATGCAGCAAACCTCAAATATGACCCTGCATCATTATAGCGATGTGGAGTTTGATGATGTTTGATTGTAACCGATTAAATTGTCTTCAAAATCTGCATTTGGAGAAATACACTACAAAGTGCACACTGCAAAGCCAACTAATTACAGAACTAGATTATTTTCAGATATAATCACACTAAACTGGTCAAAACCCCACAAGATTTATATATAAACACAGTAGGTTTACATATATATATTTATGATGACGATGTGTGCAGGTCTTAAAGGGACAGCAAAATAATGTATACTATGCATGCTGCCACTTCTCGTTAATGAATAATTCACCAAAATAAAGAGAAAATATTCTGTCAATACTGGCTCTTCCTGATGATGTCCATAATAGGCATGGGACGATAGCCATTTCAAGGTATACCGTGGTTTGGAAAAGTCGAGGTTTTAAAAAGGTATGCGTTATGTTATTTGTTTAGTACATTTTTTAGGACAACAGTATCTCCAGCAAAAAAACAAAAACAAAGATGGCATTTTAAATTGTAAAGAAATCTGTGTTTTTGAAAAACGAAGACAGCAGAAGTCAACAATTGATTTTAATTATTCAGCTAGACATGATTACTGTGGCAAATATTATAAATCGTTCAGAAAATAAAATATATTGTTTTCAAAGAGGAAAAAAGTTGCAGTTTTTTCCCCAAATTTAAAAAGAATATATTTTAAAGCAGTAATCACAATACTGTGATATTTTTATCCAAAGTTCTCATACAGTCAAAATCTTATACCGGCCCTTGCCTAGTCCATAATCTGTTTTAATATCTCGTGCAAAACAGACAAGAATATATTAAAGAAGATAGGTTATTAAACGGTTTCTGGGTATTATAAAAAATACTCTGGAAGTCAGTGGGAGCAGCGAATGTTGGGTTACTCACATTCTTCAAAAACACCTATGTTTAAAAGTAGAAAATCATTCAGGTTTAAAACATCTTGAGCGAGTAAATGCTGGAATTGTCATTTTTTTAGTCAACTATCCCTTTAAAATGTACAACAAAACATTATATTTATATTTGTTCAATCAATTGGTTAAATGCTACTGCTAAATGCACCTGCTGTATCAATTCAGAAAAAAATAACCACTTTTTGATTTATTTGTATATTATGTGTATTTGACCTTTGCTCATTTTATCTGTTATTAAAACATGACAAAGATTTTTATCTTTGGGCAAATTGGTCTAAATGTCTGTCTTTTTTTCTCTTTTTTTTCAAACAACGTTCAATATAGCAAAAAAAAAAACCAACATAAAATAGTCTTTGGAAAAAAAAAAGTGTCTGTGGTAATGGCTGTGCTTGTCCAAATTTATAGGTCACTCTTGCAATATTGTTATTTATTTCCCCAGTGTTAGTTCCTGTCAGAAAATAACACATTTGCTTTTATATGCATTTTAAAAAGGGACATTTTTCATTCAGCTTCTGATGAATTGTCATCCCTTACAAAAATCGCTGCATTTAAGATCTGACTTCTGACTTCTAATGTTGGTGCCTGCATTTAAACTTTTTTTGTCTCTTTTTTTTGTTTTAATAACCTAATGAATGCTTAAGTCTATTTAACTGATCATATTTGAATTGCATTACAACATCGATGCTGTAAAAGCAACCTTATGAAATTGAAAGTAACCACATTAAGTATTCACCGGAAGTTCATCATTGGATGATAAACACTAGGGGCTCTATTTTGTAAATTTTATTTTGTATATTTCAAAGTGCAAATTGCAGGGCACAAACGCATTAAGGGCGTGTCAGAATCCACTTTTGCTAATATAAGGATGGAAAAATCAGCTTTGCGTCGTGGCGCAAAACATTGAGAAAGCTGAAACACAGAATGCGATGTAAAAGAGTGAACCTCGTGCTTCAGCTTCTTCTAAGACTGGATCTTGCTGCATCAGTTAGTGCTGAAGGTCATACGTTGAACTGCTCCCACAATGTGTGCATGCTCTCAGTTAAAAGTTGCAACATTTAAAAACAGCTTGTGTGTTCTAGCTAGACTGCTTTAGTTATGCATTAACACAGACTCAGCCCTGCAGAGGTAACTGTGCGTGTCCATACATGTTCAAAGATCTCACATTTCAGTACACAAACAGGATCAATGTTTTGTTAGAAGTATGTCAAATTAGTATATTTTTCAGATAAAAAAGGGCTGTACTCAAAACACTTCTGGTCTTGAAATAACACTTGCATCACAAATTGCCCAAGAAAAAAAGGAAAGCATGATTGAGAAAAAAATGGAATTATGCAATTAACTACTGGGTGTTGCTGGGTAAACAAAATAAGAGCTTTAACAAGTGATGAAAAAAGGTGTTGTGTCATACTGAAAAAAAAAACCACTCCTGTAATTTAACATTTAACACGTGGATGAAGGGCTGAGTGATATGACAAAAAAATGCAATCTCGATCATTTTATTGCATGTCGAACAATAATGATTTATATTTCGATATAAGTCAATGTTTGCAGATTTAAAAGTGTACCCCAACAATGACTGAACATACAAAAATTAGAGGGTCGGAAAAAATGGCATAACATATTTTCGGACCATAATTTTTCGGTGGCCAAAAATGTACTACATCTCAAATATAAACACACTTTATGATTCCAATTGTTGCACATTTCTGCTGTATGATTGGCTCTTATCATTGTTATTGTGAATCAATATAATATCGTTTATTAGCCTGGCCCTAGATAGCATTTTTTTCCCACTTCTGAACTGCCTTTTAAGACCTTGATCACTGTTGCAAACTTTTACTCTACAAGTTTAATACAGTGACTTTTGAAGAATATAGAAAGAAATCTGTAGAATAACAGAAAAAGTAGTTGCATCTCATTACAGATTTCTGTACTTCAATTAACACAAACAACACAGGCAACATACTGTTTCAATAACTACTGTTAAACTTTTCAACATCAAAAGTTGTAGGAACAGAAATCAAGGCTCCTTAATAAAATGTGAAAGTATACACGAACACAAAATGTACAAGTGCTAAAACAATTGTTACAAACTTTCTATATGCATTCAATTAATTGCCAATAACATTACATTAAAAGCAATAATATGTAATGATTATCATATTGCAGCCTTACCACCATGTAATAAATGGTTAAAAAATGCAATTTGCATACATTAAAACAGTTTGGCCTTCTTTCTTAAGTTACAATATTCTGACACTGGTCAAATGTATGTATTTGCCATAAAAGACAGCACAAGTATACAATATAAACATTACATCCTAAAACTTGACAACTCATAATAACAAAACTGCATAGATTCAACAAGTTTATTCAGGTTTCTGTCATTTAGTATTATATTTATGTCAGTTTATGTCAACAGTGTATGAGATGTGCTAACGTTACTTTTCAACATGCGTTTTGCCTGTAGAAATGCGTTATTTGCTATTGTTTTTCATTCATTCGGCCCATTAAAGATAATAAAACATGTCGACCATTTTCATTATTGATTTCTATCGATATTGATCTAACACTACCTTTACCAATACGCCTTTGATTTGTAATCCTGGATTCATTTAAAAGTTATGATTGCAACATTTTGGAGCGCATAAACGAACTAGCACTTTTAATCAACCGGACTCACAGCAAAGCTCTTTTAAAGAAACTTTTCAGAAATTAATAATCCACCTTGTCATTTTGACTTTGTGTGTCTTTGCTTGTCATTTGGCCTTTGCATGAGGGCATCTATCAATCTGCAACTTCAGAATTACTAATCACTCCATAAACCATGAAGCTAACCAGGTTAGCAGAGACCAGTCCCTCAACAAACCACTCAAACACACCACATCCGTGAAACCGTTCACAAAACCTCGTCATGATCGATCGGCTGACAGTCATATCAACAGTGATTATAGCGGATCGTTTCATGGTTTAATGTTTGTTTCAGCCCTACACTGTCATTAGCCAACAAGTGCT